ATTTCAAATGTAGCTTTGGCTGGTGAATTTTTTGATTCTTACTAGTTAAACTAGAGTCTTTTATGTATATATTGGGTACACAATGGATACAGTCCTCACTTCTTTTACTGGAGCTTGTTTAAACTTACCCATAGAATATTGAATTGATCCATGTACACATGGCTATTTTAGAATATGGGAATCTTTCCCGTGTCTTACATTGAATCTCAGGACCTAGGCAATGTAAACTTTGTTTGTTTGTTTGTTTATAGAACTTATATGACTGCTTGTCTCGTATAATGATCCTAGGCAGCTTACAACAATCAATAAGAACAAAACCACCCTTTCCACTTGGCACAGGCCAAACAGCCTCCAAACTCAAACCCCATCCTAGCCCAACGCTTGGGGGAAGAGCCAGGTCTTCACAGCCTTCCAAAAGGCTAAAGAGTAGGGATCCCTTGGATGTCAGGTGGAAGGCTATTCCAAAGGGCTGGGGCAGCTACTGAGAAGGCATGCCTCCAAGGTCCCATCAAGGGACAACATTTAATGGTAGGGACCTGGAGCATACCCACAAATAACCTGGCCCTGTGCCATGTAGAGCTTTAAAAGTGATAACAAAATTACTGTAAATAAATACATAATCCAGCATAGTAGAATCTTTATTAATGTCACTGATCAGCATTTTATACAGTTTTTGTAAGAGACTACAAAGATGCCTAAATAAAATAAATAAAAAATAAATTTGCTAGATTAATAGAAATAAATAAAATGGTTCAGATTACTAAAAACTATAAATAAAATAAGTAAAATGCTAAAATATTAAATGCTTAAGAAGAGTTGACTAAATTATAGAAGTTCTTCATTTTAGTGAATTTACTAAATTTACTAAACTACTAAGTGAATGAGTGTGTACGTCTATGGAACTTTATTATGGTCAGTGACAAGTGAGATGTAACAGAAAAGTAACAATATAAACAGCATAGGAAATTAGGTATATTTGCAAAGTCCAAAAATTATGAGACTTTTTTCCTGTGTTAAGTAATGGTGGTCGAAAGAAATTTTGTGGCTCTCCTGGAAATATTACGATTCTGGACATATAAATGAGATGGTCCTTAGAACAGGTGAAATTCTTAGCAAGCAGAGTTATGAATAAAGATTCAGTAGAAAGTGAATTCCTATATAGTATGGCTTCTTTGGGCAAACAAATACTAACCTAACAAAAGATTTTGTGAAGTGAAAGGTGACATTTTGAATTATATAGTTATTTCAGGAGGAAAGTGTTAATCATGTACTGTATCTAAATAGTTCCAAAAGCTAAATCTTTCAAGCACTTTGGAGAGTTAAACACACATGGAGTATGCACACACTAATTGTTTTTGTGTTATTATTTTAGGCACGTTATACAGTCAGGTCCAGAAATATTGGGACATCGACACAATTCTAACATCTTTGGCTCTATACACCACCACAATGGATTTGGAATGAAACAAACACAATGTGCGTTAACTGCAGACTGTCAGCTTTAATTTGAGGGTATGTACACATCCAACTCAGGTGAACGGTGTAGGAATTACAACAGTTTGCATATGTGCCTCCCACTTGTTAAGGGACCAAAAGTAATGGGACAATTGGCTTCTCAGCTGTCATCCAACTCAGGTGAACGGTGTAGGAATTACAACAGTTTGCATATGTGCCTCCCACTTGTTAAGGGACCAAAAGTAATGGGACAATTGGCTTCTCAGCTGTCATCCAACTCAGGTGAACGGTGTAGGAATTACAACAGTTTGCATATGTGCCTCCCACTTGTTAAGGGACCAAAAGTAATGGGACAATTGGCTTCTCAGCTGTCATCCAACTCAGGTGAACGGTGTAGGAATTACAACAGTTTGCATATGTGCCTCCCACTTGTTAAGGGACCAAAAGTAATGGGACAATTGGCTTCTCAGCTGTCATCCAACTCAGGTGAACGGTGTAGGAATTACAACAGTTTGCATATGTGCCTCCCACTTGTTAAGGGACCAAAAGTAATGGGACAATTGGCTTCTCAGCTGTCATCCAACTCAGGTGAACGGTGTAGGAATTACAACAGTTTGCATATGTGCCTCCCACTTGTTAAGGGACCAAAAGTAATGGGACAATTGGCTTCTCAGCTGTCATCCAACTCAGGTGAACGGTGTAGGAATTACAACAGTTTGCATATGTGCCTCCCACTTGTTAAGGGACCAAAAGTAATGGGACAATTGGCTTCTCAGCTGTCATCCAACTCAGGTGAACGGTGTAGGAATTACAACAGTTTGCATATGTGCCTCCCACTTGTTAAGGGACCAAAAGTAATGGGACAATTGGCTTCTCAGCTGTCATCCAACTCAGGTGAACGGTGTAGGAATTACAACAGTTTGCATATGTGCCTCCCACTTGTTAAGGGACCAAAAGTAATGGGACAATTGGCTTCTCAGCTGTAAGACTTCACCAGAGTGAATACAGAGGGTTCACCACAAGATGTAAACCATTGGTGAATGAAATTCCAAAAGGTTCACATACTTTTTCTTGCAACTGTATATGTGTTCCTATGTTGAGTCCATTTTCTTGGAAACATTTCATTTCAGTAAAATTTTCATTCACAAGCATGTATTAAAAGGTTTATAAAAAGATTTTGTGCAACTAATCCAGAGTTATGGTGGTGCTTAAAGGTTTGTGAACCCTTTTGAATTTTCAACATTTCTGCATAAATACGACCTAAAACATGATCTGTTCTCCACATAAATCCTAAAACTAGATAAAGGGAACCCAGTGAAACAAATGAGTCAAAAACATTTTACGTATTCATTTATTTATTGAGTAAAAGTGAACCAAAGGTATATATTTGTCTGTGGCAAAAGTATGTGAACTTTTGTTTTCAGTAACTGGTGTGCCCCTTTGGGCAGCAATAACTGCAGCTGAACATTTCTGATAACTGTTGATCAGTCCTGCATGTAAGTTTGTAGAAATTTTACCCTTTTCTCCTTATATGTAGCTTCAACTCAGCGATGTTGGTGGGCTTCCTCTCCTGAACTTCCCACTTTAGGTCCTTCTACAACATTTCTGTAGCATTAAGGTCAGGACTTTGACTTGGCCATTCCAAAACATTAACTTTCTTCTGTTTTAACCATTCTTTGGTCATGCGACTTGTATGTTATGGGTCGTTGTCTTGATACATGACCCACTTTCCCTTGAGCTTCAGTTCATGGACAGATACCCTGACATTTGTCTGTACAATTTGCTGGTACAATTCAGAATTCATAGTTGCATCAATTATGGCAAGCCATCCTGGTCCAGAGGCAGCAAAGCAGGCTCATACCATGATACTGCCACCACCATATTTCACATATGGGATAAGGTTCTCTTATTGGAATGCAGTGTTTGCCTTTCACCAAACATCACCCTTTTCATTCAAGCCCAGAAGTTTTATTTTTGCCTCATTCGTCAATTGAACATTCATCCAATAGCCTTCTGAGTTAGCCATGTGATCTTCTGCAAACTGTAGATGGGCAGCAGAGTTCTTTTTGGAGAGTACTGGCTTTCTCCTTGCAACCCTGCCATGCACACCATTGTTCAATGTTCTCCGGATGGTGATCTCATGAACACTGACATTCACCAATGCAAGAGAGGCCTTTAGTCCCTTAGATGTTACCTGGGGGTTCTTTGAGACCTCCCAGAGTATTACCTTCCTTGCTTTTGGTGTGATCTTGGTTGGCTAGCCACTCCTGGGGAGGGTAACAGTGGTCTTCAATTGCCTCCATTTGTACATTATATGCCTGACAGTGGACTGGTGGAGTCCACATTTTTTGATTATAGTTTTGTAACCTTTTCCAGCCTGGTAAGTATCAACAACTGTTTTTTGGAGGTCCTCAGAAGTCTCCTTTGTTTGAGCCATGACACACTTCCATGTACCTGTGTTGTAAAGATCAAACTTTGATAGTGAATACCTAGAATTCTATTCTTTAAATAAGGCAGGACCTCCCACACTCACCTCTGACTATCATCCATTGATTGAAACACCTGACTCTAATTTCCCCTTCAAATGAACTTATAATCCTAGAAGTTCACTTATTTTTGCCACAAACAAATGTGTAGCTTTGGATCATTTTCCTCAAAGAATAAATGAACAAGTATAAAGTTTTTGACTCATTTCTTTAATTGGGTTCTCTTTATCTAGTTTTAGGACTTGTGTGGAGAACAGTTAACCTTTTAGGTCATATTTATGCAGAAATACTGAAAATTCAAAAGGGTTCACAAACTTTAAAGCACCACTGTATTTAGCAAGTCAAGGTAAATGCTACAGATACTTGAGAAATTGTGCTGATCAGCAATTTTTTTGAAAAGATTCTGTTTTTCAGCTCTGTTAGAAATTTTGAGACACTTGGAAAATAGTGGCTACAATCCTGTAACCTTAGTATAAACAACATTAAAAGAATGTTTTCTGAGTAGAAATTTATTATGTTATGTTTTGCTTTGCCTACTGCTCTGATCTCAATTGTATGTTATAAACTGTATGTTATGGCTGCTAATAGTTGTTAGAGAATTTTCACAGATTTTCTACCTTGCTTCTCTTAAAGAAAGGGGTTTCAGTATGGTATATCTCCAAGCTTAGTAAGAAAATAAATGTCTCTTTAAATCTAAACTTAGAAAATGTGAGAATCTGATATAGCCCTGTTTACTCAGTGTGTCTTGATTAGGGTTAGGATGTTATGGAAATGGGAAAAACGTGGTCAGTTGACTGAGCTCTGAGGGAATGAGATTTAGTCCTGAACAGCCCTGCATGTGTTTGGAGTTAAACGAACTCCTCATTTGCCATGCCATCCAGTCCTTTTCCACTCCATTACTGAGTCTAAGTCTGAAATTCTCTAGGCAATCTTTTTTAAGTTTTCACCCTTCATGATCATAATGGGAGTGGAAGAGGCAGAAAGGGATGGGCATGGACACGTCCCAATTTTGTATGCAGGAGTGCTGACCTTTGGTCACACTACTAGGAGCACATTTCTTTTCTCTGCTCCAGTTTAAAAATACTTTTAGAAAGCATGATAAATTGGAAAAGTAATGATAGTCTCTCAGCTTGCTTTACACTGGCTAGATGGGCTAAAAAGAAAAACAAACAGCTGAGAGATGACTGTTCATGCCATCCAATCTTGTGTTGTGCCATCTCATGGAAGTAGGTTAGCTTATAGAGAGAGAATAATTCAGTCAGCTATGTCATTCAAATTCATATTTATGGATATAAATGGTGACGTCTTTTGCTAGGATTGTTTCAGAGAAGCCCAGAAAATTTACCCCTAGATTTAAGTATGCTTTTAATATACAGATCTCTTCACAGTGTTTTTTATAATTCTACTAGAAACTGATGACAATAGAGAAGAACAGAGAAGAAATCAAGAACAGAAAGAATTTCCTGGTGAAAAAACAGTTCTAAATTCAAGCTCTGTTCCATTGTCTTCAGCCGTTATTGATCATGAAATTGAAATACAACTAGCTGAATGGAATAAAAATGCAGACATGCTGTTTAGTATTCATCCTGTGGATGGGTCACTGCTGGTATGGCATGTTGATTGGCTAGATGAATACCAGCCAGGCATGTTTCGTCAAGTACAGGTACTATGACTTTACAGGTACTATGTATTAAATAAATGAAATCATTTTGGAAGCTTAATTTGATTCTTAAGCTTTTCTCTCTCCCTTTTAAAATATTTTTAGGTGTCATTTGTTTCAAGGATTCCTGTTGTCTTTCCTACTGGTGATGCAAATTCACTTTGCAGAAGTATAGTGATGTATGCTTGTACGAAAAATGTTGACCTTGCTCTTCAGCAAGGCAAACAAAAACCATCTGGTCTTGGTCGCTCCTGCTCTATGTTAATTTCTTCAGGTCATAGTAAAACACCCAACAATTTAAAACTAAGCATCTTCACCCCAAATGTTATGATGATTTCCAAGCATGCAGATGGATCTCTAAACCAATGGCTAGTCAGCTTTGCAGAGGAATCTGCTTTTTCAAATGTGCTCAGTATTTGCCACAAATCACGATATTGTGGACATCGTTTCCATCTTAATGACTTGGCTTGCCATTCAGTACTTCCATTGCTACTTACAACCTCTCATCACAATGCAGTGAGGATACCAGTTGCTGATAGCACAAAAGAGGCATCTCCAGAGCATCAAAATAAAGGTTCTGCCAGCAAATCTCAGGACCTTACTGCTGTTTACAGTGAACTTATCCTCTGGAGAGTTGATCCAGTTGGCCCACTGTCTTTTTCTGGTGGAGTTTCTGAGCTTGCAAGAATAAATTCCCTTCATGTATCTGCTTTTTCAAATGTGGCATGGTTGCCTTCCCTCATACCTAGTTATTGCTTGGGTAAGTTTTCTTCCTTATAAATAAAATTGGTGTATATAATAGAAAATACACTATGACTATACAACATTTACAGGGGATTCTTGGGGATTTTCACATAATACCTGTCAGCAACTTCTTAAAACTGCCTCTCTGAAGTACCTTTGTTCCTTCAGATATGTACAGCTGCATAGTTTTTATTAAGCTCTTCATATCTGAAAAAAGCACTGGATGAATGTATTGGAACTCTATTTGTTACAGTTATATTTTTCTAATTGCCTCTAGGTGCATACTGTAATTCACCAAGTGCTTGCTTTGTCGCAAGTGATGGACAACATTTGAGACTCTATCAAGCCATAATAGATGCCAAAAAGCTACTCTGTGAACTGTCAAATCCAGGAATTTCTGTAAGTAAAGCCCAACTTTACTTGTAATATGGCCAGGTAAATTCAATTTACTTACCTGTTCATCTAACCAGAAGATTAATTTTGAGTTATGAAAAAAAAAAATCTAATCTCAGGATCATAGAACCTTGGAAGAAACTACTACTTCTTTTTCTTGAGTAGGTTGGTTTAACTAAATGGAGACTTGGAGACTGTTGCATAAATATATTCTGTTTGTCACCTTAACCATACTGTGCTACCACTGAATTATATAATCTGTAGACCACCAATCTTTGAAAGATGTTCACCTTGATCATTTCAGGAATAAGAACATCTGAAGTAAGAAACCAGACTTATTAGAATGCATTAAGTACAAGGAGACATAAATTGCCTATCATCTTAAATTTTTCTTTCCCTGTTCCAGTATTCCATTATTAGCAGGATTAGTATCAGTGATCTGTTTTTAGTATGCATTAAGCATAGATACTCTTGATAAAATAATTTTTAATTGATTTTTTCAGACAATTAGTAACCTTACAATTGCTTAAACTATGTATTAAAGACTGTCAAATATAAACCATTACCAAAAGTAGTGGATTTAATTGCTTTTTCATATTTCCTAAATAATTTGCCATCTTTGCAGACTTTCAAAATTTAGGATCAAGTTAAACATGATACATCATGTCTGACAATTATTTATTTTAATTTTCATTTCCAAATTTCATCAAAAGTGGAAGTTTCATGTAGAGAAGGGAAGGTAACCTGATACCCTTGGTGCCTGCCAGGTTGCTAGTTAACTTGATTGTTTTCTTTTAATTAAAAAAAAAAAAGCTGTTACAAACATCAGCATAATCTTTACTTACAGGAATGTGTATGGGACCCACGTGGGTCTCATTACCATTTTTAAAAATAATATGGTCCATGAGTGACTGGAGCCCAGTACTTTGGAAGTATGCCTACCTACCTCCCAAAAAAACCTCCCTGAAGTTATATTGAATTTTGCAATTTAAGCAGTTTGCCTTCTGTTAAATGGGTGTTCTGTAATTGGTCATAAATAACAGTGGCATCCATTTTGTGAAATCACTATTAGCCTCCAAATATGCTCACCAGCTTAAAAATACTGCCTATCCCCATTGAAGGCTACCTGCTAAAAATCTGCTTTGAAGGTTATTTCCCCACCCACCCCTTTCTCTCTCTCTCTCCCTTTCTTCTTTCTCTTTCTAACTCTGTCTGTTTCTGGGCAAAAGCCATTTGAAGGAGGTAATTTTTATTACAAATTAAAATTTATGGACGTTATTTTATTTAATTTTATTTATTCAGTTTTGTTGCTGCCCGATTTTAAGCAGCTCACAAAAAATAAAAAAGCAACATAAAAACAACAAATAGAGAAGATTGGAAGATCCATGTCAGGTTCAGCCCAAAGAATTCCACAAGACAGTACAGGTCTAGTTCGATAGCTTTTATTAGCTTCCAACCACAAGACAGAATCCTGCCAGACTGAATCTAAACTTCTCAGGCCAGCAAGCAAATACTGCGAATTCCTTAGGGTGGTGCCAGTCTCATCTTCTTAACCTTCCCACGCTCTTGCTGGGGGCTAAGGAAATGCTTATCTCCCCAAGCACGGCCTTCGCCAAACCATTCCATCACAATCCAACACCATCCCTGATGACCTCAGATGCTACTGGAGTTGGGTGGCCAGTAAATTTTAAATAAATAAGTAAATAAATAAATAAATAAATAAATAAATAAATAAGATTTATAGCCTTCTGGCTATATTGAAGTGAAAAAAGAAAAATCAAATGTGATTGGTCCTTGAATTTATAACCTGTGATTTTACTTATTCTACATTTAATTAATTAATTAACTTTTCCTTGGTGTGGAAAATACTTTATGCATTTTGATTCACTTAAGCATTACATACACAAAACAAAACAAGAAGCAAATACACACATCATTAAAATTAGTTTTGTTGCCATAAGGAATTACTAGGCTGTTGGTAGAAAAAGTAGATCCTATGAATATTGTGTGGCTAATTGCATTAAACTAAGAGTCAGTAGATTGAAATGAAGAAATCGGTCAAATTGATGTTATAATTACATGACAATTAATTACTGGAATTTGTTACTAACTCTGCAGAAATACGTTGGCAAATTTTTTAACATCATAAGTCAACAATCTACAGCTAGACCAGGTTGCATTGTAGAACTGAATTCCATTACAGAGCTGGTAAGATTCACCATTATTTTACCTCATTATGCCTTATTTTATCTTCTTCAGTAAAATATTGATGAATAAAAGATAGCTAAAACAATGTTAGCCAAGTATTTATTGTTTTAATATTTTGGATCAGAAACCATTTAACTTGAATCTTTATTTTTACTGTCTGATATCAAATATTTTAACAAAACTTAATATTGCTAGATTGTTGCCACTCTGTTTATTGTATTTAAAATGTATTTGTTTTTAATTTAGCATGGTGAGAAAATGCAGTTACTTCATGTTTTTCAAGAAGATTTCATTTTGAATAATCTTGGGAATAGATTCTCAGAAAACGAGACAATACTACTTGATCCTGGTAAAGCATATACATTTAATAAATCTTAAGTAAAATTTATTGTGTAATAAGCACTTTCGTTTGTAGCATTTTGTTATTAGCCTGGGTTTTATTAACACACAGTTTGTAAAACAGTTAATATATTTTATAATCAGATAGAGACATTTCTGTTCTTTGCTAATATTATATTAATAATTTAGATCCAAATAAGGCTTTTAGTCATACTTGTTCTTTGGCACGGGAAGGTGTTGATAAATACAATTTTATACCTGATTTTAATTGTTTTGTTTCTATTTTTAGATTTTATAACTTGCATTGTAATCTCTCTTCAGCACTGTGGGAACAGAAAGGAAAGATATAAATTTAATAATAATGTAAATAAGCTTTTTCATTTTAAAAAAAAGGTTTAATATCCAAAAGGCATGTCTGTCAAAGATTTCCTCTCTCCTAAGTTCATTTTTATTCTAAGTGCATAGAAAAAGAGTCATGCCCAGTCAAATTTATTATGAAGGAGACTTCAGAAGTTGCTTTTTGTCTACAATCTGAAATGGTACAATCATTTTATCACCTCCTCCTCCTTACTGTGTGCTATACATCAGTCAAAGACAGGAAGAATAAATAGGAACAAGCACCTGATTTTCCTCTGAATATAAAGACTAGCCATGGTTCTTGTTATTTTTTCTGAAACTGGCCAGCAAAGAGATAGCAATACCCTGTACTGTAGGCTGCCACTGACAGTGTTTTTAAAATTGGTCCAGGAGCCACAGCAGCTCCTTTCTCAAATTGCACTGACTTCCCGAGCCCACTGCTGACATTCTCATCCAAATGATAGCTGCCCTTGTGCTCTGAATCATCCCCCC